ATTCCTAATTGTTCTTGAAGATTTCAAAGACTGCTCTGACTTTCTCCATTGTTTTATAGTATCAGAGAATGATTTATTTACTCAAGCTTACAACTGCTTGAGTAACCCCCACACCCCTCTTCTTTCTTTTCTGTTCTGGAAGCTCCCTCCTCTGAGCTCCCACAGCACAACATTTATCCAAATTAGCCCAAGGAAAAGGCTATGAGCAATGAGAAAAGCAGTCTTGTTTCATTAGTCTTTGCATTCCTGCTCCTTGTCTAATCACTGGCAACAAGCTTTATTTTCTTCTTCCTGCCCTTTACTCCTCTTAAGATGGCACATGTTATACCTTCTAAAATACTGATTTTTGTTTCAAGGAAAATCACTGCAAATAGCAAGAGAAAAATGTATTAAACAAACCTTTCTGTTACATTGAATTTAACTATATGTCCATAGATTTGGTCATAACATTCCTTGATATTATAATATAATAGAGAACATCAGAGCAGTCTTTGAATGGCTTGCCACTGGAACTTTTAAAAAATGTTACTGAAGAGAATAAAAGTGGGGGATCAATGTGGTACAATAAATGGGAAAATAATATGATTGTATAAATGCAGTGTAAAATAACAGACAAAATTTTCTTCTGAATATACCTCTGCACATATGTAATATACATGTATATGTAAATTTCATATATCAGAGGGGAGAGCTTACATTTTAAATTTGACAGAATGAAAGAAAATTTGACACATTTCATCCAAATCTGCCTTCTTTATAAGGAATACAGTTAGCATATAACTCAAATGTCTGCTGAAAACCTCTGAGCACTTGAAATGAGTCTTAAATTACCTCCACACCATCACCTAATCCTTCTCCCCTTCTGCCCCTCCCCAAATCACAAAAAATGACATCCATAACCCTCACAGGGTGTCAGATCCAGGCATAACCAAATAGAATACGGACAGAGTAAAAGTCTGTAATAAAAAGTCAGCTCTGTGTTCACAGGCCGACCGAGTTGCTGCTGGAAAAGGTGCCTTGATTAAACCTACCAGAGCCTCATTTCTGGCACATCTTTGACCAGTTAGGCAGGCCCAGATTCTGCCCATGCTCTACAAACCCTCATTCCTCCCAGGGAATTGCTCTGCCTCTTCTACAGCTCCTCCTCCTCCAATCAAGGGTCTGACACTGCCCATTGACCAAGTTTATTTTTCTGCCTTTTGGCACCAGGAGCTTGTCTGTTGTAGGATAAAAGTGGAATTCTCTGCTGTCTGCAGGGCTTTCCCCAGGGAACAGAGCATGAAACCCAAACTTATATATAAAATCATATCCTGTTTGCAAACATCATATTCCCTTCGCTTCTCACTAATCTGGTCCTGTAAACCCCAGCACAGCTTGAGAGCCCATTCCTCATCTAAACAAATGCCATAAGCCCCTTTATACTTTTACAACCATGTCAAAAAATAATATTGCCTGCCAATAGTGATGTGATTGGAGTTGCCTCCTCCGAGCCATAAAAGAAGTGCAGAGTCTGTTATCAATTTCTCTAAGTGTATCAGGGGAATTATGGGTCGATTCAGTTCCAAGTTATAAATGACAACTCAAAAGCCGCAGAAGCGTTTGAAGCTGGGAGCTGATGACGACATTATCATAAAAGCCTGCTCGTCCTTGCTTTTGTGGGTTTTTTTGTGGCCTATCAAGTGCAGAGGAAAAAATAAGGCTGAGAAATGACTTCAAGATTTCTTCACACAGCAGCAGGTCAGATGGCTAGGAAAATGATCACTATTTTTAGTGATATACCCTGAGGAGTGAGAA